AAGAAAGAAGAGAAGAGAGAGAGAGAGAGAGAGAGAGAGGAGGAAAGAAAGGCCGCGGAAGGGCGTGAGATGATGCGGCTCTCTTTTTTTTTTTTTGGCCTTCCTTTAGGCACTCCATTGTGGGTGTGTACCGCTGCAGCTTAAGATGATGATGAACAAGAGAGTAAGACAAGTGAACTGCATGACGTGATGAGGGGGTGTTTGGCCTTGACTTGAAGCGACTTATTTATATTGTTCTTCTGTTTTATAGCAACAAAGTGAAATAAACATTGCCATTGTTATTATTTTGCTTTTTCCACGTGCGATGAACTGACATGGATGTATTAATTTAGCTCCCACGACACAGCGGCACCTGAAAGCCGTGGGCGTTGATGGCGTACGTGACTGATAGCTGCAGCCAATAATAATAAAAATAAAAAAATCTGGCTTGCTCTCTTTCCGTTGAATCCTTTTTTGTTTTTTGTTTTCAGCTTTGGCAAAAACCGTGTAAAGGTGAAATGGGCGTCAAGCCGTTAGTGAGTGATGAAAACAAGTGGGAGAAGCACCTCCCTGGCAGCAAAGCTTTCTTCCCTTCCACAGACTCGGTGGAGGGGCACAGCGGTGTGGCAGCGAGGGCACTAAAGATGGTGAAGACCTTTGCTTGGTTAACGGCGCTGGCGGCGATCATTTTTGCTGTATCTATGTTTTTTTTTCTGCTTGCGTCAAAAGAGATGTTCAACAAATGCCGCCCGAAACGTATACCGCTATCGGCGGGAAACTATTGGTTTCAATACGAGCAGAGGCCATTACTCACAGAAGATGCAAACGGGAGGAACGAAGAAAAAAGTTTTCCGCCCTACGAGCTGCACCGTATCTCGTGTGTGTGGGAAATACAACCAGTTGTTCCAGATGCTCGAACGTCTGCAACAAAGTCGCGGAGGTCGCTTGTGTTTTTTGTGCACGGCAATGCGGGATCATACACGGATCCCTCTCGCCTGAGATGTGCTATGTCTCGAGAAGCCAACTTTGAAGTGGAGCTGTATGCGTTTGACTTTCTGCACCAGGTGAACATTCACCGTGGTAAGCTTATTCAGCAGCAGGCGGCTTTTGTCGCCCAGACGTTAGAGTCAATGCTAAGAAGGGCTGCACTCAAGCGTCTTACCGACTACACAGTTTTACAAGGGGCAGAGTTGTTGAAAAACGCATCTACGCTTGCCAAACAGGACGGTGCAATTTCCGTTTGGGTTGTTGGTCATTCTATGGGTGGCGTGGTTGCACGCCTGGCGGTGGAGATGCTGCGGAGGTCGGGCAGCTCTGTCTTTATTGAAGGCATCATCACGCTAAACTCACCGCATCGTTATCCTCCCATTTTTCTGGATGATCCCATGTTGAGGGTCTACGAGACTCTGTGGCGGTCACAGGACCGAAATGCGGCGTTAAACATGTCGCGACATCTCTCACCGCGTTTATACTCTGTCTCCTCAGGTGCATTGGACCTTCAGGTAGAGCCGTGGCTGACGAATCTCATCGAGCCGGATCATGAGCCATCTTCAAGCACGATGCTTCGTACTGGCGATCCAAACTTTTGTGGAAGGACGTTGTCGCACACAGAGGCTTTGCGTGACCAATGCGTGGTTGAGTTTATCACGGGTATCATTGCAAATAGATCAGCTGGAGTGGTTCCGACGCAAACTGATGCTACCACCATGAATCCCTTAGTTTCTATTGAGGACTCCGTCACTTTGTGGTGGGCGCAAAGGAGTGTGAAGAGTCACACACTTCCTGCTTTTTTATTATCATTTTACACTGTATTGGTGCTTTCTGTCATTCACCCAACTGTCTCACGTCTAATGCTAAATGGTAGCTGTAGCTCGGCCTCCAGAACCTTTGGTTTTAGTTGGGGGCATCACCTGGTGATGCTGCTGCGGATATTCACGATGGGTGGTGTAGTGATTGCTGCTCTGCTTGTAAGTATTATTGGTCATCTAGTCCTTGTGCAGCTTCGCTGTTGTTTGTTTCCTTGGTCTGAAATGTGCAGCCTTCCGTGGGTTGCTGACGATCTTGCATGCAGTACTACAACGGACTGGGGTCATTTGCCCTTATTGCTTATTGCTTGGCTTGGTCCAGCACTGCTTGGGTCATGGATGGGTGTGGTAGCTTATTATCTTCTTCGTAGGTGGTTACAGCTAAGTTTGCGTATGTGGACGGTGTTCCGCTCAATCTGTCATTCTAGATTTTGTTTTGTATGCCGTTTTCTGCCAAGAAGAAATATGTGGCGTTTTTTTTTCTGCTACTGTACTCTATTACAGTGGTGGTGTGTACCATTTCCTTGGAGCTCTATCAACGCAACTTTATGTGGCTTGGTTTTATATTACTATTGATGCCACTATGTGTTGCGTTGGAAACTGGTGCCGGTGTCACTCCCAATCCTACCATGTGCATAGACTCTTCAGTTCCCGTGGCGATATATGCCTGGCTATACACCTTTCATTTTCAGTCATTTTTTTCATGGCGAAACAGGTGGATATCTGGCATGAATGAAAACACAAGCATTGTGGATGAACGTATTTATTTTTTGGAAATATTACTTCATGTCCTCATGTGTACACATTTAGTATGGCCTATTCGTCACATGTTTGGTCTTCAAAAAAAAGATGTTTTGTTTTGCTTTAAATTCCCCTCTTTTTTTACATCATTTCTATGCATGGTTGTGATAGGTGCGTTCATCCTTATCTATGTGTCGCTTGTTGCCATGAACAAGGTCTATGTAGAGACGTTCCGAGTTGTGTGGGTGCTTCTGTGGGGATTTCCCGCCTTTATGCTTGTTAGCACGCTGGGATCTGAAGATGCCATCGTTACACATTTTGCCTCTACATTTGCCTCGGCTACATAGACGTATGATGGAGTGAATTTGACTGGTATTGCCACATCAATTTTGGGGCGACGAGGCATATGCCACAGCGGTGCTTAAGGCTTTCACCAGCACAGGCCTTCTCCATTGTTTCCTATTAATAAGCAATGTGTCATGTTGTATTGCGCTTTTGCGTTCCTAAGCACACGGTGCCTGTTTGGTATCACCGGCGCATGCACCTGCGCACAACTTTATTATTTGTTGTTATTATTTGCCTCCGAGTGTGCACGCGTTGTTATTGTTGTCTTTTATTTTTGTTTTTTTAGTTTCTTCTTTTGCACGGGTTGCTGTTGTTATTGCTGCCGCCCTACGGTGCGGTAAAGGAACATCCTTTCACTTTGAAGCCAGCATTCCAAGCGATTGAAAAGAAGAAGAAAAGACACGGTAGGGGATAAATATTGTTATTATTGTTATTATCAAAGGACAATAAGCAGGTCCAGAATAGGAGACGGAAATAGAAAAGGTAAGGTAAAGCGACGAAAAAAAAAAGACTAATTAAGCAGCGGAGAGGAGTGCAAACACTTTGGTTTTCACAGCCTCGCCTGGAAAAACTCATTTTATTTGTCCTATTGGACGTTTGATGTCGTCTCGGCACCGCGAACTCGTCGCGAGATTTGGTGATTTTCTCGAAGAAAATGACTTTAATTCCCGTATTTCGATGGACAAGGTGGGGGAGGTGAAGGCCCTTTTTAGCGCCAAGACAATTCCGGTGGAAAGTGAAATGGAGGCCACCGCGGAAGCCATCGCTATTGACACGGTCCGCCGTCGTGATGCGCTACGCCGTACATGCAATGCAGTGCTTCAGACCCGAGAGCCTGAACAGCTTGTTGATGTTGGCACCATAATGTTTGACGAGGAGGAACGATTGGCTTGGAAGTTTCTCATCGGAGCCCTGACCGCAAAAAAATCTGAGATTCTTCCCGTCATTGAGGCGGAACTACTCTGTGTGGCGGTGGACTATCACTATGCCACCTCACGGCCAGAGTTGTGCGACATATTCGTCCACCTGAGCGCAAGTGAAATGTTCTTCATTGATGGTGATTCGCTTTTTATGGCTGCAATTTCCCAGCAACGCGTCGACTGGGACCTTATTCAACCATTACATGTCATGTATAACGCACAAAAGCTACTACATGATATGCAGAGCCGTGGAGCCAATTTTCAAGTTGTCTTTTTTGACAGTCTCTTGTGGATATGGGAGTCGGCACCAACAAAACTCTTTATGCGTGAAAATTTGCGTCAAGGGCTGATGGCTCTTGCGAAAAGTGACGCGAAGTCTGCTCTGTCCGTCAGCAACTTTTCCAGCTACTATGCAGAGGAGTTTGAGGCCCACGTCAGGCAGTGGGAACCGGAGTTTATTTTAATCTCTGATGGAGAACAGCTGGGCTCGCTCACTCCACTACAAGCCTTTTTTGTGGCCTCCACCACGGCAAATAACACTTGTGAAACAAAACAGAAAGCGGGTGACTATGACGACGAGGAGAATCCGTACCGCCTCAAGCGAGCCTACCGGAGTATTGTGGAAGATGAGGCAGTCGGTAACAAGGCGGCTATGTACTATCGCTGCATGCACATTTGGGCGGCGACACGACGACTGAAGGTGGGCTACTCCTCCCGTATAATGTACAAGGAAAACGCTATGATTGTTTTCACAGTCCGCGTAGACGGTGTGGGGTTTGAGCGTGCAGTGACCATTGAACATGATGTGCAGGTGTTGGCACAGTCAATGGAACGCGAGGTACAACTTCCAGTTATTTCATCTGAATCTTTGGAGTTGTTGGAAGAGGAAGAATTGTGTTACCGTGAACGGGTAGTGTATGCCGCACTACACGCCTACTTGCGGGCCAGTGCCAGGAGTGAAGAGGAGAAGCAGCTTTGCCAGACGCTTGCCCTTACAACCTACGTTGCATGTTATTTGAATGAAAAGTGTCGGGCACAGCGGGTTCGACCAAACACCATCCTTGCAGATTTCTTGAAACAGATGTCACCTTTCCTCCTTGCCGTAATGCGTCACGCTGGGTGTAGAAACACTAATGGACAGGTGTTTGACATTATTGATGGTCACCTGTTTTGTGTCATTTCTCAACAACTGCGTACAACAGCAGTGTGTGAGTTGCTTGACGAGTACGGTGTTGAAGACGTGGTGTCCATCTGGGGTGCTGTAAACAATGAAGACGGTTCGTACATCACCAATGAACCATTTTTGAAATTACCAGTCATTCAACCCCTTGACGCGGACGAGCTACAATCGTATTCGCTCTTCACTCATGAGTTAGTGGAGCGACTCGCAAAGGGGTTTGGTGTTTCTGCGCATCGTGCAGATAAGCCGTATCCGAGCGGGTACGGTGCCGCCAACGAACTCGCCGGATGGGATATCACAACACCGTTTGACGCTTTCAATGATGTAACAGATGCTGAGGGAGAGGCGATTGCGAAAAGCATGATGACTGATAGAGAAGCCAAAAGGCAGCAGGAGCATCAAGAAAAGTTTGCACGTAACGCCTTTAAGCAGGCAGAGTCAATGGGAATTGGTGGTTTTGCAGCGCAGGAGCTAGTCCAGGTTCTTTCTGACAATGAGAAGGATACCGAGACTGGCGGTAACGGTGCTAATCCTAGAAATGCTGGAGGCAAAAAGACGACCAAAGAGCACGCGGGGCAACGGAATAAGAAGGACCGGAAGAAGGAGGATGAAATTCGTGAGGACACGAATGTCGTCAATGCCACTTCCACTGTGAAGGAATGGTGTAAGCAAATGGATCGCCTGTTGCGCAGCGTGGACACGAGTCATGGACGCACCACCAACAGAGATCGTGACGAGGCGATCAGCACCATTCAGGCAGCCCTCAAACGCCTCTCGCAGGAAAGATTTGGCAGATTTTTTGACCCTGGCTGCACACTTGGCGACTCTACAAACACGGCAATTCCTCTTAAACTTGAGATGTGGCGTTTGCTTGTGGGTGCCAGCCAGCTTCGGGAGGTGGAGTTTGCCTTTGCCACTGAGGACCCCGCACTGAAGGATAACAAGGTCACTGCCAAGAAGACGGATGTTAAGTCTGTTTCTAAGCTGTTGCACGGTTTCCATGTCATTACACAACTTGTAGAATGGGAGAGTAGCAAGGGAGGTAAATGGGGGCAACTGGAACCATTGCGGAAGGCAAAGCCTGATATGACGACGGTAGAGGCTGGTTCGTATTTGCGTTGGGTTTATCTCTCATTTGTAGAGTTACACATCCAGCTGAAGCTGAAGTGCCGTGTTGTGAAACTTCTACTTGAAAACTGGCGAGCAGAGCGAGAGCGCGCACGCCTGGACCAGGAATCGCCACGAGTTGCTCTTGGTATTCCTCTCTTTGTGTACTGTCACCATAAGGTGTTGGCCGTGATTCGCGATGAGGGACTGCGAATATCGTCTGAGGATATTGACACAGTGCGGTCTGCCCTCAGGCACTTTGACCTTCCAGATTCCTACTACAATAAGCTTGACCAGGCTATTGCACGTTGGCAGAGCATGACGCTTGGAACTCTCCTACCAAGTCTTCTTCCACCGGAAAAGCAACTTTTTGAAACTCCTGAAATGCTGCAATTAATTCACATGGGACACTTACTAGAACGCCCTCTCGTGCGGAAGCATGACTACCGTGTTGCTTTCAATCCAGATAATTGGCAGCGAGAGCTTTTGGACATCGTTGATGGCCGCGGCAGTGCGGTGGTGTGTGCCCCCACCTCTGCTGGTAAAACTTTTATTTCATACTATTGTATGTATAGGGCCCTACGGAGCTCAAATAAAAAGGTTGTTGTCTATCTTGCCCCGGCACGTGCGCTGATAAATCAGGCGGTGGCTGATGTCTGCGCCCGTTATGGATCGAAACAGTATAAGAATCCTGGCCGACACATTTATGGTGTGCTTGGTGGTGCGGATTACCATCAATTCCATGACAGCTGTCAGGTGCTCCTTACCGTCCCTGAAACATTTGAGACGATGCTCTTGTCGCCCAAATACAAGGAATGGGTGGAGTTGCTCGACTACGTTATCCTGGACGAGATTCATTCGATGGAAAGCAATGGGAACGGTGATGTATGGGAGCGCATCTTGGCCCTTCTTCCCTGTCCTTTTGTTGCCCTCTCCGCTACACTGGGTGAGACGCAGCAGTTGTGCAGTTGGCTCAATCGTGTCCAGGGACGTTTGAAGGAGCAAACGGAGGAGGAATCAGGCAAGATGCGCGACTTTGAGGTTCATGTTTTGCCCCGGGAGGGGAAAAGTATTCAACGGTGGAATGACATCAAAAAGTATATTTACCTTCCGCCTCCTGGAGCCCAATTGACACACAAAAAAATAAAGGCTCAGTACGACAATCGATATATTCGTGATCTTCATCCGCTATCTATCCTCACCACAGATCAGCTTCAACGTGGGTTTCCCCCAGATATTTCGCTCGTGCCAAGTGAAGTGGTTTCTCTCTTCGAGAAGATGAATTCAACCTTCAATGAAGTTGTCTTGCCTAAATGGTTTTCCTTGCAGCTAGTACAAAACATGCGTGCACAGCTATTCTTGCTTGAGCCTGGCAAATATTTTGAGACGGAGACGTACATCACGCAGGAGCGTGCGCGGCAGTACGAGGCGGAGGTAAAAAATGCCTTTGCGTACTGGGCCGTATTGGGCCATGAAGGCTGTGAATCCCCGGACGGCCTTACATTGGAAGAGTGGCATGAATTTAGTGCAACCATGAGTACGGTGGCGGAGGGTATTCTACGTGCTTTTGCCCAAAAACTGAACGAGGATGAAGTGATACTTGAGCGTTGTGCGGCCGAGGCTATGGAAAAGAAGAAGCGGTTGCTGCTTCAACAACACAGTCAGCAGGAGGAGGAAAAGGAACCCAACAAGGAAGAGGAAGCGCAGGGGAAGGATGAGGAGGATACGCTGACGCCTATCTCCTTCCCAGGATCGCGGCAGTTTATTCGTGAACACATATTAAATGTGTTGCGCGAACTAATTGCGCGCGATATGGGTCCAATAATTGTTTTCAGCTTTGAATCAGAAGACTGCGGAGATATCGTAAAGTACGTTGTGGAGCAACTTGAAGAAGCCGAGTTACGTTACAGGAAAACACAGGAATTTGCAGCATACAAGACCCGCATAGAACGCGCCGCTGCCGCACAAGATGCAAGAAGGAAGCAGCGTGAATCAACGCTTAAGCAGAAGCGTTTGACAACAGGGGATGATGGTAAGGTGGAACTGGCCGATCGTGGTGCGAGTGATGGTGAAGGCGAGGATGAACTATATGTTGTCCCAGATATTCTTCCAGAGTTCACATTTCTCGGTGACAAGTGCACAGTGGAGGCTGGCGTGGTAAACTCACTTCTGGAAGATTGCGAGGATGAAGGGGAGGATCTCCTCCTTCGCGCCTTAAAACGTGGTATTGGCATGCACCATGCTGGTGTGAAGGGTAAGCTCCGAGCCCACGTTGAGCGTCTCTTCCGTGGGCGCCACTGCGGTGTTATATTTTCTACAGAAACCTTGGCGTTGGGTATTCACAGTCCTTGCCGCTCTGTTGTCTTGGCAGGAGATCATATCCTTCTTAACCCCACTCAATTTCGCCAAATGATGGGCCGTGCAGGACGACGTGGTCTTGATTATTTGGGGCATTTGGTGTTTCTGGGCATCACTATGCGTCGTATCAAGCGGCTTATGACGAGCGTCATGACAGTCATCAAAGGAAATGTACAGATGGACCCCATGTCCAATCTTCGTTTGCTTCAACTTTACGATTTCAAGATGCTTCGTCAGCTTAAAGACGATGTAGTATGGAAGAAACACGTGTTTAAACTGGCAGAACGCTTATTTGTAAATCCACTCTTCTTTCAAGGGCGTGATTCTGTTGAAGGAGGCAATATGGAGAGTTTTACAGTGGAGATGTTGCAGATGCTGTTGGGCTTCTTCCAACACGAGGGATTACACTTCAGTGACCATACTTCTTCGCTAGGTTCATTGTTACAAGATGTCATGTACGTTTTTCGGGAGGCGCATGTGGGTAATGAAGGTTTTGCCTTTATTCACATGCTTACATCGGGCGCATTTGACAAGGCACATTACCCACCTGTGTATGATAAGAAACTCAACAGTGGTGTCGTGGACGAGCCTGTCGCCGAGCTCCTTGCATACCTTTTTTCCACACATCACAGATGCGGTGTGCCGCTAGAGATGCATCGTTCTGCTCTTCTTGACCCCGCTGTGAGGGTACTGTGGGAAGGCAAAACAGTTTCCACGCAACACCGAGTAGTGCTTTCTCCCATTGAGGTTTGTTCTCCCATTGTATCTGCGCTGGATAACACTGAATTTTTTGCGTTGCTCTCGGCCTTTTACAATTACTTGGCATCTCATTTGCCGCCGCAGAGCGGTAAAGAACTTCGCCTTCCTTGCATGAATAACACCGATGAAGCGTGCCTTATTTTTGATAATGTGCACTTTGAATGTCCGCTCAAAGAAAAACTTCAAGAATCGGCTGTTCCATATAGCGCCCGATCCCCGTTTGTTGCCATAAGCGGTTGTGGCGACTTTTTCTCTTCCATCGATGAGGTAACATTTACCCTGCGCGATGGCCTGTACTGTGATCGACGACTGCTACCTATCCTCGATGTGGTGGATGGTTGGCGGCACGATGGGGCGCAAATTCTCATCAGCGCCTGTCTTTTGGACTTTCTTCGTGCAACCGCACAGATTGACACAACACGGAAAAATTATCGCTTCACACTTCTGGAGGAGTTGAACGGCCTCTCTCAGTCCCTTTCCTACGACGTGCTGAACAGGGCTGAGAAGGTTCTTTCCAACCTGGCTGGTTTGGTACGAAAAACTAGCCTGCCGGCTGCGAAGGGGTTGACGGCTATCATGCCTGAAAAATCAGAGCAGGGCATTTTCATGGCAGGGGGACCCCGTGTGCTGGGGGTCGCGGAACGCCTGAATTCACTTCAGCCACAAATTCAGAAACGCCTCACAGAGCAGTTGCGTGCGGCAAAATGGGCGAAGATGAAAAAATGACCGCTCTACACAAACACAACAATAACGTGTAGAGGGGGGGAGGGGGGGGGGGAAATGCCGCAAAAACCGAAATAGCATCCATGACGGACGCGGAAAGGTGCCGCAAATCCGAGAGCGATGTTTCAGGGAAAAAATGATTGTGTACTGCGGATGATGGGAAACGGACTTATGCTTTTGTGCTTTTTTGTATGCGTGGGGAATACGGAAATAACCAAACCCATCGGGTCAGTGGGGGGTTATCCTCCCTCGGCTGTGCGGGTGACGAGGGAGCGACCTGTCGGTCAATGAGATGGAATGAGATGGGAGAGGAAAGATTTTTATTACTTTCATTACTATTATTTCTGTGTTAAGACAAAGGTAAATTTAACGGAAAAACAAACAATTATGGGCGCGCACCGGCTTGTGTCGAGGGGGGGTGCCCGTACTGAAGACGGAACTAAGTGACGACAAAAACGTGCGCTTTAACTTTCTTTATTTTCTCTTTTCCTACCGGTTTGAGGGCCTTATTTTAAACGTCATCTTTGGGCGTCTATGGAGAGAATGTGTGCCAATGCTGAGGCCACATAAGTTGGGTGAGCCTCTCGTTGGACCTCTCTACTTCCTTGCCTATAGCTTACTTTCTGTTCCCAACCCCACCTCGATGGATGACAGACACCGAAGTTCTTTACCTTTTGAACAATGGAGGCCGTTTAATGAACGTTTCAAGGACGGACGGGGAGGAGTCTCTCTTAGCCCGTGCTTTTTGGACTACCCCCGAAAAATGGTCCTCTTCGAGTAGTACTGACTGCATTGGCAGCCAGTGGCACGACCCAACGTGAGTCGTACGGTTGTGGTTGCGAGGACACCGGGCCTATCGTTCTGACGGTGCGAACTGGAAATTGTGGCACGATTCTTCGGTTTGTGGGATGGCAACTGGTTTTGTGCACGCCACACTGGCCGCAGTTTGAGACGTCTTCCCCTGCCCCTTCCATTGTCACGGTGCAGCCGATTGGGCAGACGGCCTGCGTGTCACGGGCACCCACACGGCGGTGCTGGCGTAGAAGAAGGGGTGTTGTCGCATGTGGCCGGGATTGCCAGGCAGCCATCGGCAACTCCGAGCCGGGGGGCGACCAACTACGTTTTCCTCGGCGTGCACTCTGATCAGTTTTCGCACTCAGCACCACTGACTGCTGTGTCTATTTCTTCTCTGCTGCGCTAGCCCCCTTGGCGGGCCTGGACGGTGGCTGCGATGGGGGTTGCCGCCTCTAATTTACTACGTGCCACAGCAATTTGGGGCATCTATCTGACAGCGTACTTGTTTTTTTTTTCAGGGCGGTACGCCGGCGCATGTCCGCTTTGAATTGAGGGAATCTTCTTGCGCGATCCCGAGCTAGTCTTTTCCCTGGTGGCTGTCAGTCGTGGCGTTGCGTTGCTCTCGG